ATCTATTCTATTTACTCTTTAGCAATTCATTCAATACATAAATATTGCAGTTTCCTTTCTTTAGTTTGCTTTTCATTCCCGGTTTTCTAGTAATAATATTTTTGTACTACCTCGAATCTGTCTGTACAGACCACCGTTTTATGTCTGTCTGTAAAAATATATTTCTTTTAAATTCTTCGTTTGTCCAACCCATGTACTTAGCCTTCTCTTCATTGATCCAAGTCTTTTATAATTTCTTTGAGGCCTTTTTTAATTCTTCTGAGCAGTCTTTTCTTAAATATTAGAATTTCTACCTCACTTATGACCTTTTCTAAGAATAGACTAAAGAATACTGAGGATAGTGGGTCACTCCTTCTTTGACTTAAAATTTATCTGAAATTCTAAGAATGACTTGCATCATGTTTGTTTGTTATAGATTGTAAGTTCAATCATTTGTTTTTTATTCTGTGATAGGCTTGCACGAAATTAATAGACGCGACCTATGTTCGATTTCTGCTTAAATTTACTACTTCCCCGTCTAAATCCACACTGGTATTCTCTGATAATATTTTTCCATTTTCTCTGTTATGTTGTTCTTAGTATAGGTTCCAAGTATTTTATAGGTTACGTTCAGACGATCTTTTATACGCTTATTTATTATTATTTTCAAATATACAGGGTGATTCGTAAATATGTGGGAAAGCAAACTTTTGTTGCATTAGTAGATACTTCATTTTATACTCAATCGCCCAATGTAGGGTTGTTATAATCAAAAATCGAGTGTTTTCAGATTTACGGTCATTCTTTCGTCAACACTCAACATTTATATAAAGTTGTACAGTCATTTATATTTATACAGGGTAAGTCAAAATGAACAATATTAATTTTCATGAAAAAAACAAATGGAACATTCTGCATTCCATTTACATTAATTACTGCCATTAATTCTCTTTCAATTTTATTGAGCAATCTGTATACCTGAATATAGTATCTTTTGAGGTATACACATTTTTACGAACAAAACATCGAAAATTTGTCAAATTATTAGAAAATATCGCAATAATTCAACTTATAATTTTTGGAAAAAAATGTTTTTTTACTTCTCCTTAGTTTACAATTTCTCCGTATCTTAAAGCCCAAAATTTATTGAACTATAAATAATGCTTTAGTTCACGTCTTTTAGTGCAACGTTTGCCAGGCCAATGTAGGTTGAGCATATAAATTGTGGTGCGCCCAATACCTTGTCCCAGTTGTGTTTATGGTAAAGTGTGTTGTCAGAAGTTAAGAAGAAGAAGACGATTGAGAACGGCGAAAGGGGTAACTGTGGTGGTGGTGAGAAGACGGTAGCGGGATACGCTATTCGCCAATTTTGCGGGTATTATTTTGTCAATTTTTCTTGTAAAATTAGCAAATGCGTAAGCATGTAATTCAGTTTAAAAAGGAAAATAGAAAGTACGACATCACTTGTTGTTTATTTACGATTGGCTAGCCGAGGCAACACAAAGTGTAAGTTAGAACTTGTATCGAAGTCGGTGGGAGATATTTCTAGCAATAAATAAAGTGAAACTTATAACTTAATAATCATAATAATAATAATAACAATAATAGTCTTTACTGAGAATTGAAATATGTAATATACATAATACACAGTACAAAATACGAAGTCTAGCTGACCCAACACAATTAATCTGTATATTATACATCTTTTTGACAATAACAAGAGAACCTGTAATTAAGAAAAATAAAATATAAACAGAAGAAAAAGAAAGTAGGCAAGTAATTATAGAAATAATGCTGTGATTAATTAAAAGATGAAAACCCCAATTAGCACTTTAATATTCTTTCGAAGTTTTAAAGATGATAAGGCAAAGAAATATTTATGCCGATCAAAGGTTTTCCCCTGATTATAGGTAAACCCTCGCCCGTACAGATGGTGTTGAAGCTCAGTTAGCGTATTCGTCCTAATATTTACAATGTGGGTTTCACGGCGAAAAACTAGCTTATCTTTGAATTAGGAAGGGCTGAAGCCTTTAAGATCTTGTGTGGATAGGTATTTTAATAGATTGTCTATTCTCAACCACTGCAACAATTTGATTTATTTTATAGTCTAAGAGCCAGTGGGCGGCTACCTGCATGTATTTGACTAGACCTGGGTTTTTGTACATTGAGGCCCCTATATCCTATACATGAGGTGGGGACCCACTAAGCCCAAAGCTAAGCAACAAATTTTAAATATATTTAACCACGACCGTTTTGAAATCTTAAAATATATTATTATTATTATCGAAAAATAATAATGGTAGACCATTAGCATGCGGCTAACATTATGGCAGACAGTTTTGGAAATGCTCAAAAAAATCAAATTTTGAAAGTATTTGACCAGATCTGCCTTATAATTAATTTTATCACTCGTATGTATAGAAATTAATATTTTTTTGTACTTTATATACTAAACTTTATAAGATTGATGATAAATGAAGCAGATAATATTACGAAATAATCTAAAATCCTGGGGTATAATGCAAGTAACAAAAAAACAATTGAAATCTGTATTTAATTTTTTTTTATTTATTTAAGACAAAATTTGAAAGGTGTCGGAGTCATATTTGTCGTAGGTTAACTCTTCGCAAAAATAAACCGTAAATTGTAAAATATAAATAACTAGTAAATTGATCCGAATATATTTGATAAAAAATTAATTGTTATCAACTTATCAGGGACATTGGTAATTAAGTCGCTGAAAAAAGATGGAAGGTGATATCTCCATCGAACCATTTAAAGACAAATGCGTTGTTCTGCTCAAGCCAACCATACTCCAATGGATCCAAGGTTGAAAGTTGCTTTTTGTAAGCGTTTTTCCAAAGACGACGACGTAGTGGGTTGTAATAGAGCTTCTTTGTTGAGATCGGTTGCAATTTTTTTTAAGACGTTAACGCTTTGTAACAACTACTGTGATATACAGGATCAAAAATTTCGTCCGGTAGAATTATTTCATTGTATTTTAATTTATAATGTTTTCTTAACCTCAAAATTTGTCGACATTTTTCCATCTCTCTCTTTTGAAAATGTCAATAATTCCTCAGTGTTTGCTGTGGCACAAAAAACACACTTCACTAGTTCTTTTTCACTCGGCATAATGTCAGAGATATTTAACGAATAATAGTTAAATTATAGAAAAATATTTTATTAAATTCACTAAACACGAGGCATCTCTATAGAGATTCATAAACATACTGAAACCATCTGGCAAAATCCGTTAGGTTGGGATTATAACAGAGCCATCTCAGGTATAAACCCTAAATTATTTAAGTGGTAGTAGCTATAAAATAAAATACTATAAGCTGGAACGAGTAGAAATAGTAATACATAGGAGAAAGAAAAAAGATAGCTATATGCAGTGTATGCATACATCTACCCGGGTAGAAGTAAAGATTTTGTTATCTACTGACGAGTATACTCAATAAAAGCGTCTGCCGATATTAATATAAGCTTTTAATACTATAACGAATAATACATCTCAATGGCAGATCTGGTCAAGTACTTTCATAATTTTAATCTTTTGAGTATTTTCAAAACTGTCTGCCATGATGTTAACCGTATGCTAACGGTCTGCCATTATTATTTTTCGATAATAATAATAATATATTTTAAGATTTCAAAACGGCAGCCGTGGTCAAATATATTTAAAATTCGCCAAAAATCAATACCTGTCTCACCTGCGCAGTACCTGTGTCTACCGCTTTGGGCTTAGTGGGTCCCCACATCATGTATAGTAGGTATAGAGGCCTCAATGTACAAAAACCCAGGTCTGGTCAAATACATAGCCGCCCACTGGCTTTTAGACTAGTAGTCATGCTTTCTTAAGTCATACACCAACCTACAAAAGTTGTTTTGTATTTTTTGAAGGCGTTGACGATCAAGTGGGGTTAAATATAGGTAAAACAATACTTTAAAAACAACTTTAAGTTCAGTACATGCTTATTGGTATATAGAGTCTTAAGTAAAAGGTAAGTTCTTTTACTTAAATTTGAAATGTGCTCACTAAATCTTAATGGTACGTCAACCGTTACTCCTAAGTTTTGGCCTTGGTAGCAAGCGATAAGGGTTCCCGATTTGTATCAAGATGCAAATATACTTTCAGGAACTGCATTGCAGAGTCCCGAGCAAAGAGTGGCACCTGAGTTTTAGCAGCATTAAAAAAAAAATCAATTTGTATATTTTAATACAATTTTAAATGGTCTTTCAGGGCCTTAGAATTATAGTTACTTTCCAGCAGTTATTGGCAAATTCGCTATTTTTTCTTATTTTTGCTGATAATTTATTATTGTTCTCAGAAATAGGTGAATATGGTTAGAGCTTTAAAAAATAGTTAAATAGTAAATCTTGGTCGTAAAAACGCAGGGGCTTCCGTTCAATACAAAAAAAAATTACCAAAAAAATCTATAAGAAATGGAAAACAATTCAGGTACCTCATCAGTATATATATATATATATATATATATATATATATATATATATATATATATATATATATATATATATATATATATATATATATATATATATATATATATATATATATATATATATATATATATATCAGTACTCTCAATGGCATATTACAAATTTTGTATTGAGCTGATCATCTATAGTGTCAACATCAATAACGATATTTCAACAAAAAGCAGCTGCGCCAATTCTTAAAATGATAATCCTAGTTTTAGATGTTGCAGAATGTCTCGAAAGAAAGGCAGCAGGTCAAAAGGGCGTTAGAAGAAAAGTTCACTAATATTATTTGACACTTGACCACAACCTTCCAAAGAAAATTACTCTGAAAGCAACCCCACGCTTGCCGGTATGATCCTTCCGTACATTGAAAACAGTATTACAGTAGCCTGTGGAAGTTTCACTGAAAAAATTTTGAAGAATATTTTGGAGAGATGGTTGAATATCTTCCTACTGACAGTGGTTTTTTCAATCGAAAATGCTACAAGCATTTTTTTCGTACAATATAAACTTACCCCGTTCAGATGCGGCAAATCGAGAGTAGCTGGGACGTACGTCGTCGCCGGGCTACATCTGGTGCACGACCTCCTCAGAGCTGGCCGTTGTCTAGATCCGTGACATCTCATGGCGAATCGCAGTTCTTCTGCCATCTCGGAACACAGCGATTGCCTGTCCGTCTGCGCGTTCTTTTTGCTGTTCCAGCAGAATTCTAAAATGGCGACCAAAATCGCGAGCGCCAGGCCGCACAGGAGGACCACGAATACTCCCCCTGGAATTAGTGAAATGCTTCTGTTAGGTAATAGGTAGTTAACGAAGTTAAGATTACATTAAATTTTGTTCCAGAACCCAAGACAACCCTGGATCCTGCTTTTAAAATTCATAAACCAGGTGTTTATTTTCTGACTTGCTTGAAAGTTGGTTGTGGGGTGGTGGATGTGTATTAAATCGCTGGGCACCTGTTTGTAGTTAATCACGTCTTCAATCTAAATACTAGTACTAGATTTCTCAGCACCTGCTACAGAGTTAAAAATCTGGGCTTTTTAATAATTGAAATGCTAATTGCCTCAATGCCGATGATCCATCTGTCCCAAGCGTTGTGTATACAGAAGGGTCCAAAAAAATGTATCCACTCTTTGAAAGTCTATAACTTGCAAAATAATTAACGGGATTCGTGTACAAATATCCGAATGAACATGTGCAGTCCTGCTGCAGTTCGGTAGCATCATTAGTGTGTGGTTGTTAATGGTGACCATTTCGAACACTAACAGGAATATCTTTAGGATAGACTTTTAGCTACGCTTTTACCAGATATGAGACAACTCCGACAATTAGTTAGCCAATTATGGACTTTTAAACAGTGGATACATTCTTTGGAACCCCCTGTACACAAAAGACGTTCTAAGTGCTTCTAGTTTCAACGCTGAAACATTGCCTCCCATATTTAAAGAAAGATTCAATAAGATTATCCTTACCAAGATTTTTAAAATTACTCAAAAATTCTTATTTTGTTCAGCCTAAGGTTTATTATTGTTATAGGTAGGTTGAACCTTTGGTAGGCAGAGATTGTTGCTTGGTCCTCTATTTCAGAATATAATGTTCTAACCGAATTTCAAATTTTTTTCTATATTCTCGGTGAAAAACTAGTTCTGATAGTTATTTGGTGGCCTATATTTTGTGTTCCAATTACTGAAAATGAAGTGAAATGGAATATTTCATTTACGGTGGTTTTCATAAATTTGTTTTTAACAGTAATAGTAATAGTTATTTCAAATTATAAAAAAAGAAACTGTTAATGGAGGTCGAAGTGCTGGATAATTTGCTTCTCACATTCGTTACTTTTGTGTTCTGAATTGTGAAGAAAGTTAAACATTTATATAAAAGGTGACGCAGAATCTATAAGAACGATCTGGTTAACGGATTTACTTTAAATTACACAGGGTAATGTAAGAGGAGCTGCTCTATCGTTCAAAAATATTTACAAATATTTCAAAGGCACTTCCACAGGCTATGGTAATACTTTGTATAAAAGTTCTAGATTCCTCCTGCGTCGGTTTTTGTAGACTCGAACTAGCTCTCTGCTCTAGTAATTTCCACGTTAAAGATATTAAGTGTTTCATCACAAAATACACTTCACCACAACCTTCCAATAGCAATGAAACCGAAAGCAATCCCACACTTGCTGCTGTCGTCCTTATATTCAAAACAAAACTGACCGCATATCAAAATTTCTAAAGAAATATAACGTCAAAACCAGATCCGTCAAAGAGAAAATTCCATTTGACATGCCAGCATTCGATGCATATGCGGCAAAGAACTTGGAGAGACAGGACGAAAAATATCAACTAGGCTCAAAGATCATGGAAAGAGCCTTAATAAACTCATCAGCTGTTGCGGAACACAATCGCGAAACCGGGAATAAAATTTTATTCGATAAAACTAAAATTCTATAGAAAGTCTATAGAAATCTATAAGCAACGTAACACGGTTAAGATCGTGACGCAGGTCTTTACCTGTCACCAATATGAGAATCAGTCATCCGAGACGGTGTTGATGGCCCTCATTTAGCTCCGCCCCCCTCAAACAACGTTGAAGCAGGTACAGAGTAAAATGCGAGCCAGTTTCAGTCAAGCCCGGAAGAAGCCAATACGATGATTGGCGAAACAAAGACCGTTCGTTGTTTTGTAGAACTAAAAAAAAAAGAATATACAGAGTGTGTTATTTAAAAAAAAACTCCATAAACCGTGTTTCTAGAGCTCTTATTTTCAACTGTTTTACCAGCTGCTTAAAAATATAAAAAATTATTTTTTATTTCTGTAACGCTCAGATGTAGGTATAAGGAAACCTGAACAAAATCTATTTTATTTCTTAGGTAGAACCTAAAAATACAATTATGTACAGAAAGAAATTTAAACTAAACACACTGTCGCTACGTTTATATAGAAGCGTCGACACTGCATACTTGAAAATATTTTGTATATTAATAAGAATATCCCTTAGTCTGTTCATCAAGAACTTCTAATAAACTATCCACAGTGCACCACCCGGTTTTTCAAAGATTTAAACAAAAATAAAATTAAGCACCGCGCAGTTTTGGAAAAATAATTTTAACAGTATTTTACTATAGCGATAATTTTAAAAATGCAATATTAATGTTGGTAATGGAAAAATATTGAAAAAAAAATAAAAAGCAAGAACTGCAAAACAAAAAAAACTGTTTAATGAAGTTTTATTTTATTATATTATTTCGATACACGCTCTAACATGGTCTTAACGATTGGGCGGTATTTGCTGGCGAATCATGACTAACACTTTGAAAGGTTTTTCTTGCCTGTTTTATGCCCTTTTTTGTTGTGGAGGCAGTTTTATACACTAGGTCTTTAACATATCCCCGCAGAAAATAGTCCCTCTTTGTTAGATCAGAACATTCAGACACACTTCTTAAGTAGTTCGTGACACTGCTGCTGTAAAAAATCTAAGTAAATATGCTCATTTACTGTATGTAAAAAAAAATGAGATCCTACAACGTTATTTCCTATTATACCACACCAAACATTTAAAGACGCCTAAAGACATTAAAAGACGCCATCCGAAAACATTATTTATAGTTCAATAATATTTTGAAGTTGAAGTTTTTCATTATTCGGAAGCAAATGACAAAATAAAAAATTAACCTAATTATTTGCATTTTCTTGGTTTATTGCGATATCTTGACATTTGAAAAAAATTCGGAGATTTGTTAAAAATTTATTAAAATTTATTAAAAACTCGTGAGTCAAATGCCGTTTACCGCACTTGTTGCATACTATACTTTTTTACGACCGTTAATTTTTGGATACATTTTCGAAAAACACGAATACATTCACTGACATGACCGTCAGAATTGACAAACATCAAAATTCAAAGCGTGGAAAATATTTCCGAAAACATTCGATTGCTCCCAAACCCGTGCGGTGAAATCCCGGAAATGTCCGAAGTGATTCGGATCCGAGGGACAAGAGACTGACTTGTTAAAGTAACGCTTTCCGCACGCTAGATCGGTGCGTAATTAGACATTTTACATACGGGAGTAGAAAAAATTAGTAACTACTAATTAATTAATTAATTAAGTTCCATTCCATTCCATTTCCACCATGTAGAAACGATTCGAACTAACTGCAAGAGCAGTATAGGACAAATGACCGTACTACTTTATAAAATTGTTGGCATCATAAAATTACAGCTGTAGGAAATATCGCTAAAAATATAGTGTTAAACACTCAGTATAGACCATAAAAACCCTACATCGGGTGATTGAGTCTAAATGAGTATATCTAATAATACATTAAAAAAAATATAAGTTTAAATTGTTTCTTTTAGTCTTATACTACAACTTTTGTATTTAACATGTTTTTCTAAATTATTATTATTAAAAGAATAAAGTGCAGAGGAGAACCTATTATGCACATTGATAGTTAGTAGTATGAGAATGTGATACATATAATAAGTATTTAGTTATTGCTATGAAACAATACACTGTCCAAGCGACGTTTAAATACAGATAAGTTAGGAGCACACCAAACATCTGGGGGTAAACTGTTCCAATAATCGAAAGTCCCGTTACTTATAAAATGCAGTCCTGAATTGTTCCTATCTTATTTTAAATGGATGACCGCGTAGGCGTTGATCGTTGCTTAAGACCACAAAGTGCACGTCAGATGGAAATTGGTCATGCGCGAACCTATACATTTGAATGAGATCCCCTCGCAGCCGACGCTGACTTAATGTTGAAACGGTCATCGTAAGGTGTATGTCTAAGTTGAAGTGGCCAGCGCGTAGCGGCTCGTTGCACTGTTTCAAGAACATCACAGTCACGCAATAGCCATTGGTTCCAGATTGGGGAAGCAAATTCTAGGATGGAGCGAATGTAAGTGTTAAAAAGTCTGCAAGCGATGCGAGGACTAGGATTTTTAAAAGTCTTTATTAACAAAAACAACGCGCAGTTTGCTTTCTTTGCAATATTTGATACATGTGCAGACCACGCAAGATCATTAGTTACTGTCACAGGTCACACACACCTAGGTCGATCTAAGAATCGACACTTTTGAGCATTCAGCGGCCAAGTTGAACACCACTAATATTCAAGTTTCTCTGCAATACGTCCGCATGTGTTGAAGGATTTTCAAATAATTTAGTGTCATCAACATAAGCGCTCACATGAGAATCAATGCTGAAGAGCAAATCCACAGTATACACTAGGAATAGTACTGGTCCCAGCACCGATCTCTGGGGAACACCACTATGCACGTTTTGTGGTAGTGAAAAAGCGTTACCAATTCGAACTCTGAACGACTGGTGGCTTAAAAACGCCGCTATCCACTCCGACCTTTTCAAGTTTGAATAGCAAGCGTCGATGTAGCACACGGTCGAAAGCTTTGCTGAAGTCGAGGTAAATAATATCCAGCGGATCACCTGAGTCAAGAAATAATATCCACCGATATAATATGGCACTCGAAAACGACAACAGCTGATTTATTATAAGGCGATGAAGAACTTTACATATAATACATACTAGGCTGATAGAGCGGTAATTTGAAACATCAAGCTTATCACCATTTTTATAAATTGGTGTTACATTTGCGGATAACGACTGGGTCGGGAGTGCGGCAGAGTATAAAGATGTTCTCATCAGGTTCGGGAGCAGACAGAGTTTTTTTCAAGTCCTTTAGGTCAAATTGATTGTGTGTGAATGTCAGCAAAGACATTAGCAAAATATGAAGCAAATTCATTTGA